AGATGGATTTTTTTCTTCATCCGTATTAGAGTCCATTAACTCCTAATATTGTGCAAGTTCTTCGTTATAACAAGACTAGTGTCATACCCTAATTTCTTTATTTTATTTTATTCCATGCACACACACAAAAAAAAAAAGAAGAAGAAAAATAAAAGGGAACAAAAAAACAAAGCAAAATTTATAATTAATATGTGCATGTTTATGTTTATTTAGAAATTTTGGAGAAAAGTTGTATTCACAATACTTTAAAAAAAAAAAAACAATCGTATTGATATATGCATATATTATTATTAATTAAATACATGCATAACGATGTGTAAAACAAGAAATAAAGTTCTTTCTCATTATTCAAAACCAATAATTAAAAAATAAATAAATAAACCCAAGTAAAATTTTAATTTTAAAAACAAAATTTGAATTGCCCAAGCCAAAAATAATATGCCCAACCCCCACTCTCCATTTCCCCTTTCCTCTTTTCCTTTTTCTTCTTTTGTTGTTCCTTCTGTTTTCTTTTCGGCCAACCATAAAATTTTTTTTCATGGGATTTACTGCAAATGAAATATATATATATATATATATATATATATTATGTTCTTGCTTTAATAAAAAAAAAAATTTCAATGTCAATTTGCAATGGTATTTTATCAAATCTCAAATGACATAATGCACAATAAGAGGAATAATTTGATTTTTTTAATATTTATTTCCTTAATTAATTTCAAAGGTTATTTTATGTTTTTAACTTATCATCTTCATGCAAGAAATGTGATCATCACCATTAATCCAGATGATGGAAAAATTGAGAACCAAAGCTCCGGAAACTTGTCCAACTTTAATTTTGTTGGCCCAAAATCTACAACTACCCAAGAATGTAAGTGAATTAGGGTTATTAAAAAAAATCTTAAAACTTTTAAGCACGGTTCTAAACTCTTCCTTTCACACAACATTCATATTAGAATAGTAATTTCTACCTATGAATATATTTAAGTGCTAGTGAATATTATTTTTATTAATTAATTTCTCACAAAAAGTAATTTGGTGAGAACAACAGTTGAGTACTTATGATTAATTTTGTGGTTGCTTACTTGTGATGTAAACAAGAATGTGATAATGAGTAATGGTAAACAATAATTTAAAGTAAAGATGAATGAGAAGAGAGTGCAAAATATTTGATCACACTACCTATGCATATGCCTACGTCCTATTTCTCAAGCCAACAACTTGAGTTTTTCATTATTTTTTTTTAAAATATTTTAACAAACTAGTTAATTGTGATGTTTAATTCACTAATTACTCATGTTTTACTAAACACAGTAGTAATGTCAACTCACATATCATTCATACTCTACTAAATATTACAGATTATCTATCAAGTGTCGTCATGTTTTATTAAATATTATATTTTCTCTATCAATATATTAAACTCTTTTTTTTATTTTTTTGTCTTAAACTTTCTAAAGATTTTTATCGATCTTATTTTATAATATCTCGAAAAAATAAAAATTAAAAAAATTACAACTCTCTCTTTTAAAAAATAGATATATTAATAATAAAAAAAAAAATTCACTCAAAAGAATGAAGAAGATATTTAATTTCTTAATTAAAAAAAAAATATTATGCTCTCTTTTTCTCTAATTTGCTCTTCTTCTTCTTCTTCTTCTTCTTTCTTAATGCTCTTTTTTTTTGGTTTGTTATGTGCCTTTGTTTATGTGTTGCATCAACCCAAGCTTCTTACTTTTATAAAAAAAATTTCTTCTATTTGGTTTAGAATTAGTAATCCTAATGAAAACACCAAATCCCAAAAAGAAACCAGCTCCTATTCCTATATATATATATATACATGTGTTGGTCCTTTTACGTAATATGGGTTGGATCTGCTTAACAAAATTGAATATAATGCATTAATACATTAATATTAAAAAGTTAAAATTACTGTTTATGTACGTTGATTAGACTATTTATTGAGTATAACTCAAAACTCTATAAAACTATATGAGTTTGTTAATTTAACAGCTCATCACTCTTAATTATAAAAATATAATAGTGAATGAATGAATTAGTTGAATTAGTGTAAATATTATAAAAGCTCTACGAATTTACATATATGTAATCTTTTGATAGAAATTATTATGTTGTTTTATAGGGTCCACGACACATGTTAAAAACGTAAATCATGGTTTTTACATACAGTGTAATTGGTAAGTAGAATTTATCTAGTTATTAATTAATGTGATTAATTATTTAATCTATATAGTTGAGTATGTTAATCTACTAGATTCTCTCTCTCTCTCTCTCTCTAGATTTGAGTGATTGGAGAAATGTTGTACTGAAAAAGGAATTGTCAAACGTTTACTATTAATTTTAAATACTAAATTCGAATATTTTCGTAGAATTAAATGTTATATTTGTTTTTATAAATTTATCGTAGATGGGCTTTGAGGTCAAAAATAAACATTGACTGTTGGATTTTTTATTTTGTTCTGGATAAATTCAAATGATTCCTTATTTACAATTTATAATTAATTTGATTATAAAAATTATTGTCTCAAGTGAGCTCATATATTAATTTATGTATATATATATATATATATATATATATACCGTATAATTCGTAAAATATATTATTATGAATTATAAAAAATAAAGTATTCATTTGTTAATTAATTAGTTTGATTAATAAACTGTTCCCCTTTTATTATAGGATAAAAAACATCAAGCCAGAAATCATAAGATTTTATTTATTTGCTTAGAGTATGTTCAGGAGACTAATTTATATTTTATGAAATTAAAAAATAGAAAAAAAATATTAAGAAATGAATAAAACTTAAATATAAGATGTTAACCCTATCGCTAAGTTATTTTTTATAAAAATAATATATATATATATATATATATATAGATAAAGAGACGTATTTTTTTACACAGATATTTGGTCTGACCTTCCAGTTACTAGGGTTCATAGGTCTGGACCAAAAAATTGCAGCTAACGGTAATACATGCTGAACTCTAAGCCAACCGCTAGCCTAATAAAAACCATCATAAACCACAAAAGGAAGCCCATGTGGAACAGGGTTCGAGTGAAAAGGCCGAAACATTGCTTTATGTTCCCTATCCCCCATAAAAATAGGCTCAAGCAAGCAAAACCCAAATGACCTCCACAAAAATACAGAGCCTAAGAGAATGCTTCCTGCCATGTGGGCACTGGGCGTGGAGAAAATTGATGCAGTACTGGGTTTGCTTGATTGGAAAAGAAGACGGAGAAAATACAATTAACAGTAATGTGGTCTCGAAAAAGGTAATATATACGCATGAACCCTCCTTCAATATAGCATTTTGTTATGAGATGGTATGTAGTGTGCTTAGATCAACTTAAAACTCCCAGTATTGGGACAATGCCTTTGCATGCATGTTACTAATATTACCAAATCTTCTTAGATTCCTCCAAATAATATAACAAATCGCAACATTATAGAAGCGTAGAGGAAACTTTATAGGTTGTATGAATTTTTCTTGGATAATATGAGTAAGAGACGTGAGATCCATTCTAACCATTGGAAACCTTAATAATGTGGTTAATGAGGATTCGAGAAGCAAAAGGTATGTTGTATTTCGCATTTGTTTTGTCCATAAAAATCATAGGAACGTTATGTATCTTCGGCTACCAAAGTATTTTGTGTTTTTGTAGGACGTCACTCGTCATAACAAGTTATGGTAGAGTAAAATTATTGACTTTACAGTGGGTTGTATCTTCAGAAAATTAAATAACCTCTTTAATTAACTTTTAAAATCTCTACAATAGTTTCTTTCTTAAATTACTGCTTGGGTGGAAAGGTAGGTAATTAAAATTAATAAATGTCCAATCAATTAAAAATTAAGATGAAATATAGATATGGAATACACGCAAAAATCGAGCACCAGAAATTGGGGGCCCACCACGAATCGTGATTATAAAAAAAAAAAATATATGCAACATGGTTTATCATCATCACTCGGTGAGGATTATAATCAATTGGACGGCCGGCAATCAATCTGGACGAGATGAAAGTCAATAGATGAAAAGAATTCTCAAAGCGGGGAATCGTGCGGGGGGGTAATATTTTGAGGGGAAAAAAGAATAAGGAGAGAAATCCCCCGACCCGGTCAATGGGGGAACTCTGTCTCCTCCTCTTATCTATTTCTTCTCCTTTTTAGAGGCCATGAAAGTGGACCAGCGCGACAAGTGTACATCTGTCCAAAACAAGAAGCGCGTCTAACCCCGCGATCCGTTTAGCTTTCACTGTCCCAACGTCCCTTCGTTTCTTCTCAACCCAAAGTTACCAAATTGCCCTTTTCCTTAATGGCTGACAAGTTCAACTTTCTTTTTATCTCATTACATCACAGAGTAATTAAGCTTCTATTTTTTAAGATTAATTTTAGATATATAATCTCATACATTTTGATTTATAAACTATAAGAGGAAATTTAACCCAAACCAACTCATTAAATTAAAATTAAATTACATAATTAGATTTTTTTTGTAAGTAATTAAAAATAAGATTCTATTTTTTAAAAAAAATATACATTATCATATTAATTTTTTAAAATAAAAATTTATTTCAAATGAATAAAAAATTAATTACATACTAATTTTCGATATTCCTTTTATACATATATATTTATAAACGGTATATTTTCATTTCTAATTTTTACTTATGCAAAATTAGTCATTTTTATATTAAGCATTCTATTAACCTACTATTTTAATTATTTTGACTTAATTAGGTAAAATTACATAATTTAAGTTAAAAATGAAACTGAGATATAAATAATATGTTAAAAAGTAAAAAATAATAATAATAATTAAAATAATAGGTTATATAATAATGTGAAAAAAGTGGGGGGTAAAATGGGAAAACAAAAAAAGTGGCGAGTGAGTGGGAATGAAGAAGAACGGGTCTCAAGGCATGCCCATGAATTTCGGTGGCGTATATAAACCCCCTTAATCCACTTTTATGCTTCACATGACCTTTTCCCTTTCTCCATTTCTTTTCCTTGACCCGGCGAAACTGATAAACCATCCACCGCCCCCCTGTCTCCCACAATGCCTGCAACTGAGTTTCAGAGCTCTTTCCTCGGCCGAATCAGCATCCGCCGAAACCAAATCGCTTCCATGGATGGTCACCACGAGCAAGACCTTGAGGACCTTGACCTCTTCCAGAAGCATATCGCCGATCGATTTGCTGAGCTTCTCTCTCCCTCTTCTTCTTCCGACGATCACCGCCCCCAAGATTCCCTCCTCTCCATCTCCTGGCTTAGCCAGCTCCTTGACGTTTTTCTCTGCTGTGAGGCTGAATTCAAGGCCGTCCTCATCATGGGTCGCGACCCATCTCAGATTTCCAAGCCCCCTCTCGATCGATTAATTCCCGAGTTGCTCGACCGCGTTGTCAAGGCCTTGGACATCTGCAATGCCGTTTGCGTTGGTATTGAGTCCGTTAGGCACTACCAGAGGGTTGCTGAAATTGCGGTTTTTGCTTTGGAGCACAAGCCGTTGGGTGATGGGAACGTGAGGAGAGCTAAAAGGGCTCTGACCTCCTTGGTTTCAGGCATCACCACTGAAGACAAAGATACCGGCGGTAACAAGTCCACAGAGCGGACCTGGTCCTTTGGACGCAGAGGCGGCAGCGGTGCGCCCATCAAGGGCGGACCCACGGGCCACTTCAGGTCGCTCTCGTGGTCAGTGGCTAAAAACTGGTCAGCCGCGAAGCAGATTCAAGCCATGTCGACCAATCTGGTTGCACCACGTGGAGGTGAATCCTCTTTTCTAGCTTCACTTGTTTACGTCATGAGTACAGTGGTGGTGTTTGTCATGTGGATATTGGTGGCTGCAATTCCTTGCCAGGAGAGAAATGGGTTAGCCACGCACCTGCCGGTGCCTAAGCAATTGAGCTGGGCACCCAGCTTGATCGGATTGCAAGAGAAAATTGGCGAGGAGTGGAAGAAGAAGGAGAAGAAAGGATCCGCTGGGTTGCTTGAAGAGATGCAGAGGATTGAGAAGTTAAGCCAGTGTTTGGTGGAATTGGTGGATTCTTTCCAGTTTCCCCTGGAGGCTGAGAAGGAGGAAGAAATGGCAACAAAGGTGGCAGAGTTGTCGGCTACCTGCCGAAAAATGGACGAAGGGTTGATGCCTCTTCAGGTACAGATTAGGGAGGTTTTTCATAGGATTGTGAGGAGCAGGACAGAGATTCTTGAAGCTTTAGAGCAAGCTGGAAAAGTGTCTGCACCTGCAATGTAAAACGATAAAAACCGATTGCAGGGAAGAAGGGAAGAAAAGTAGCATAAATATGAATCAGGAGCTTCAAAAGTTTTTGAAGTAAAAAAAAAAAAATTTGATCCTGGATTACCAGTTGAAGCAGCTTCTTTCTCTCATCTTGGTTCTTCACAGTAGGATATTTAGTATTGTATAGATGAATCAACCACTAAGGTTGTGGTGGAGTATATGCATTTTTTAATCTCCTGGTTTGTTTTTTTTTTTTGGGGGGGCTGTCTTTTGATGTTAAAATCTTGTATTTCCTGACTAGAGTAACTTGTAAATATACTCAGCTATACATACCTTTATTGTTCTTTAATTTTTGAGAATGAATTTATATTTATCTTCTTTTCAGTATATTTTAATGTAGCTTGATATTTTTGTCGTACAATCTTTTTATCTTCTGAGTGAGTATTCACATTGAATGTGTTGAAATTGGTCTGTCTTTACAGACTGACTACCTTGAAATGGTTCAGAAATGTATCAACGGCTACCGGTTGATTGTGGTGGTTATCAGTTTCTCCATTCCAAGCCCTGCAACATGTAGGTTTGATTTCGAAAAATCTTTGATGTTTAATTAATTATGTATGACAGATCATTTCTCATCATTTTTTTTTTAAATCAAAAGCGTGATTGAATTTAACTTAAAAAAATTATTTATTTATTTATTTTTTTTTTTAATATATATATATATATATATATTTATGCTGGATGAATAAAAACACGGGGTACATAGTTGTTAAAATGGGAAGTAAACAACCTTGGGGCATCAGGTAAGTATACTGTCCAGAGACGTGTGCCACAAGAATCTCCGCTCATGAATAAAACATCATTCCTTCAAGAATTTCTAAATGAGAACGTTTAAGAATTTAATGATTAATGAAAGAAACAAGATGAGAATAAAAGCTTGAACATGCTCAAATTTAAAAAGACCGTCTCTCTCAGAGTTCTAAAAGCAAATAAAATATTGTAATTTTATTCGTGCACAATCACAAAATTAATCTACAAATCTCAATTAATACTTCTAAGCCAATCAATTCTAATACAAATAAAAAAATAAAGAGGCACAAAGTTTATGTAGAAACTAAATTCAAGTTAAATCTACTATCAAAGAATCAAGTACAAGATATTCTCTCAAGTAATTCACACTTGAGATTGAGAAAATACATCAATATTTCTCTAAACAAATTCAGTTCTTCTTGAATGATCACACCAAGAATCTTAGATTTCCAAAATATAGTTACAGTGTTTGATAATCCATAGAAAGTAGAGCAAAATAAAATTATCAAACTTTGTTGTAGCACCTTTTGATGTGAACAATGGATTTTGTAACAGCCCCGGTAATTCAACATGGAAATTATGTTATAAATATTAAATGCGGAAGCGAGATCAAAATTTCGGTTAACATCCCTTACACGGAAACAAAAAAAAAACGTACTTAAAATATAAAAGATTAAATTAACTAAGAGAGAAACTCGAAAATAAAACTATGAGTATGACTACAGAGTCTCTAGGCATCCCCTTCGTCGTCCTCCTGCGGAACGGGCTCGGGAACCATGTCTTCCTGATCTGAAATGGTTAAATAAGGAGTGAGCTACACTAGCCCAGTAAGAACATCACGATATCTCACCGTCACGGAGGTAAAGGTGGGTAGAAAAACACAAAAGACCAATGGAGCATGATTTGCAACAAATCCTTTTATTTATGATAAAACCTTTACCATCCACTTACCTCGGTGGAATTCATGAAACAATATAAGAAAACAATAACATTATCACAATCATGGAATAATATAAGCTGTAAAACATAGCACTTATCACGCCTTTTGTAATTCAATCATTATATCACATATCCTTTTCTCATTTACCAGCCTACTAGTATCCATGGGGGTCCCTAGGGGTCCCGCTATCCGTTAACCTTTAACATTCATAACCAGTTTCCAAGGCCGTCCCCATACCCCGTCCGGTATGGGCACCAAAACCATAAACCTCAATACCCCGTCCGGTATGAGAGTGAAACGGGCCGTCCCCATACCCCGTCCGGTATGGGCGCCAAAACCATAAACCTCAATACCCCGTCCGGTATGAGAGTGAAACGGGCCGTCCCCATACCCTGTCCGGTACGGGCGCCAAAACACATAAGATCTCCATGCCCCGTCCGGCATGTGAGACCGCAATCCCGGTAGGGTTCCCTACGGACCCGGTCCGTCCACCATCTCCCAGAATATCTAGTCAGGCTGACCCCATCATACAATTATCAGTCTACACAATGTTTCATTTTCCTTTTCCTCAATAAGCATCATCAATTCACATTTAAACAAGCAAATCGTAATTCATGCCGAACAGACAACATACAGTATCAGTTTTTCAGTCATTCAACCCATAACCAATAAAAACGTAATATATGCACACGAAACTATAAAATAAACACATCAAACCTCATACTGCATTTAAAGCTGTAAAACAGACCAAATAACAGTAAATCATCAATCACACTAGACTCGGGCTCCATTAGCAACCTTAAGCAATTTTACACATTCGTTAATTCAAGAAATACCGTTTTATCATTTTGAACTTTAATATCGTGATAGGAAATAGGGTGAGGGGTCCTTATTCGTTTTCGGGATCCGAATACGATTCACAGTGCGCCTACAGACCGTCCCTAATTTTTCCCTGAATTTTTCCCGGGGAACTGAAACACACTAACGGTACCTGCACGTGTTCCAAAAAAAAAACCCAAATTAGGCCCAGGGCCTCTTTCGGCCCAAATCGCAACTCCGGCACGGCGGCTCCGCCGTGCTCCGGCGACGGCGCCGCCGCTGGCGGCGGTGAGTCGCCTCGGGTTGGCTGTTTTCGGCTGAATTCGGCCACACTCGCATCGGCCCCTGTGAGAAAACAACCCTAGGGCCCTCGGGGGGCCAAAAAATCACGGAAAAACGGAGCTTACCGGCGGCGGCGCTCTCGGGTGCGGTGGCTCTCCGGCGAGGTTCGTGTTTTGGTGATTCGGCTCCGATCAACCTGTAGAGAAAAGAATGGTGATCACGGTGATATAAAAATTGCATCAAACGGAGGCCGGGAAGGGCCTCGTCGGAGGCAAAAACCGAGAGGGGGCGCGGCGGCGCCGCTGGTCTTCGGCCGCGTATTCCGGCCGTTTGGCCGGGATTTTGGCTTCGATTTGGCCATAGGAGGAATCAGCGTGGAAAAACGAGTCGGGGTATGAAATTTACCTCGATCGGCGGTCGAAAATTTCCCCGGTGCGGCAGCGGGTGGCGGCGGTCGGCCTCTGGTTCGTCTTCTCCAGCGAGCGGCAGGCGGCTAGGGTTTGAGGTCTAGTGTGGGGGTTCTATTTATAACCCCTTGCCCTTTGATCTCAGCCGTCCATTTTGTTTTAATCTGGGCCGTCCTTTTTTGATTAAATCTGGGTCGTCCGTGCGATTGATCTGGGTCGTCCGATCGCGCCCACGCGGATCGCCAACGTGGCCCGTTCAGGAGCGACGTGGTCTTGCCACGTGGCAGGCCCCGGTTGGCCGGGACTGCTGACCGAGCCTGCTGACGTGGCTGCCGACGTGGCTTTTTTTTTTTCCTCGGTCCGGGCGCTACAACTCTCCCCCCCATAAAGAAATTTGGTCCCCAAATTTGCCTCATTACTCTTGATCAAACAGATGGGGATATTGGGCCCTAAATTCTGATTCCAGTTCCCAAGTCGCCTCCCTGGGCGTGTGGTTCTGCCACATGACTTTCACAAATGATATTTCCCGGTTGCGGAGTATTCTGCTTTCTCAGTCCGTGATACTAACTGGTACTTCTTCATAAGACAAGTCCTCTCGGAGTGGAAGCGGTTCGTGAGCCAAGACATGAGAAGGGTCCAGATTGTACTTACGTAGCATAGATACATGAAACACATTATGAACCCGGGAGAGCTCAGGAGGCAGTGCAAGTCTGTAGGCAGTGGTACCAATCTTGTCTAAGATTTCAAAGGGTCCAATATATCTGGGGTTTAATTTTCCCCTCCTGCCGAACCTGCTAATTCCCTTGAAGGGGGTGACTTTAAGGAACACCCGGTCGCCCTTCTCAAAGGCCAGGTCCCTTCTCCGGGTATCGGCATAACTCTTCTGCCTACTCTGAGCTGTCTGGATGTTCTTCTTGATCTTAACTATCTTGGACGTGGTTTCTTCTACCAAATCCGGGCCAAACAATCTTCTATCGCCCACTTCCTCCCAACAGATCGGCGACCTGCACGGACGCCCGTATAGCGCCTCGTATGGGGCCATGCCGATGCTTGCTTGGTAGCTGTTGTTGTAAGCAAACTCTATCAGGGGTAGGTGGTCGTCCCAATGGCCCCCGGAGTCAAGGACACAGGCTCGGAGCATATCCTCCAGCGTACGAATTGTCATCTCTGATTGTCCATCGGTTTGGGGGTGGAAGGCAGTACTAAGAGACAGCTTTGTTCCCATAGCTTGCTGGAAACTATTCCAAAACCGAGAAGTGAATCTGGGATCCCTGTCGGATACCACTGTTACTGGAACTCCATGTAGTTTGACTACCTCCCGGATGTACATCCTTGCCAACTTGTCCAAGGGATCAGTCATTTTGATGGCCAGGAAGTGGGAAGACTTAGTGAGTCAGTCAACAATTACCCATATAGCATCATGTCCCGATCGTGCCTTGGGTAGTCCCGATACGAAGTCCATTGTGATATGTTCCCACTTCCACTCTGGAATCGGTAAAGGCTGAAGTAACCCGCCCGGGCGTTGATGTTCTGCTTTGACCTGCTGACATACCAAATATTTAGATACAAAGTCGGCTATATCTCTCTTCATCCCATTCCACCAGAACCGAGGTCGCATAGTTTGGCACATTTTCGTACTTCCTGGATGCATGGCGAACCTTGAACTATGGGATTCTGTCATGACGTCTCTTCTTAACTCACTATCGTCTGGGACACACACTCTGTCCCTGAAACGAATCAATCCGTCGGCAGAGATCTGAAATTCTGAGTTCACTCCCTATT